CCCCAAAACCCCAAAACCCCAAAACCCCAAAACCCCTAGTGTTCCACGTTGATTGAAACTTGGTTATTATGATTAAATCTGATTCCTATTAAATACCTTCTCGAATATGGTCATGGACTTCTTAATCTGTCTGGGTCTTACTATATTGGGATTATTCTCTTAAACCACTTAAATATTTAGCTTACCTGTGCTCTGGATTGAGTTTGCCCTTCTGAGAGTCAATAATTTGCCTTCACTGCTTTGCTTGGACATGTTTTTCCTTTGCTCCTTCCTCTGTTGCATCTCCCATTGCTTGTGCTTCTCTTGTTCTTTTTGGAGCTTTTTATAATACCCAGGAAGAGTAGCAGCTTTAGACACTATTTAACAAGTCAGATAGGATCAAGATAAAAGTATACAAAGTAGTTCATCATAATCTCTGATGAAAAGTCTTTTGAGTAAGTTTCAAAACAGATAAAGGAATTTTTAAAGTAAATGTTTTCTTAAAATTCAGCTCGTTAGAAAATACTGCACTTTATGTAAAGCCTACTCTTGGAATTGTTTTTTAAACAGGAATCTACTCAGCCATGCAAGCTATACTTACTCTGATGTGAACCTTTTGAGAAATTCTTGGTAAAGATAAACTTAAGAATATCAGCTTGTTTTTCATCCTCCACTGTCATCTGAGGGAGTTTGGACGAAAGCTTTAGCTTGTAGTATGTATTGGTAGTCACTGAGTTAATTTCATCCTCATTCTCATTTGCACAAATTGTTTTAGATGACTCTAGAGGTTAATTACCGTATAAAGTACCACTTATTACTGATCTCTCATTCATATAGTCTTTATGAGAAGCTTTCTAAATTTCACCGAAAAAGCTTACATTAAGAGACTTTTCCCTATCAGTTTGAGGATTTCTTAAGAAATCAGAGTTGTTGATCACCATCTTTGGAAGTATATTTGTTCTTGAGTGCTTCATTAATGGCTTACTCTTAAGAGAATTTATCTGCAAGCTTGCTTTCTTTGTTTCGTCTAGAGATACAATTAGTTTTCATCAAAGATAGGAATGAGCTCAGAATGGGGAAGAAAATTTACCTTTTGAGGAAGACTGAATGTTCATAATTTTGGGTAGAGAATCTGCCTTACTCATTGATTTTTCATGTTGGATCTTAGAAGACATCAAGGAGCAACTCTTTCTCCTTCCTGAATAATTTATTGCGGTGGTTTCTTCTCTATTGATACTATTCGAAGCAGTTGTTCATATAACTGGAGAGATTGGACTAACATCCTTATTTGTCAAGAATTTAGGAACACTCTGTTCAGAGTTCTTACTCCCGGTGTAGTAAGCTTTGTAAGCTTTATTAAGTCTCTTCTTATAATTCCCTAAAGGTATTCTGGAAATATCTTTGTCAGAATTCTAATAGTTCAGATGCTTAATTTACCTTAGATGTCTTAGGTTCTTTATAGGTTCGCATTCTTGGGAAGTATTTTGTCCTAAACCTTGTTAACTTGAACATAAATAAAATAAAAAATTATCAGCATGGGTAAAATTTGATATGGGCTTACTTCGAGGGCTTCTTGGTTCTTTGGAGAGTGTCCATTAATATCTTCGGGCTTATATGCTCTTCTATATAAGAACGTTATTTTTCTTTCTGGTTGTTTTATTATTATGAATCAATGGCTCCAAATATACTTACTTCTGAGTCTTTTTGGGATGTTAATTCCATAAGTATCCAGCATTTTTAGCTTAAGCTTAAGAGGAGATTCAGACTTGAGGTCTATTTAAGATTATTAGAATTTTAGTAGTGGCTGTAGATATAATTAAACAGAATCTACTGTTTTTGAGAAATTAATTGAAAATGTTTCTGATTTTAACATACTTTCTTTGCCTTTTAACTGCCTCTCTTTGCTTTTATGCTTTGAGCTTGCTTCTCTATTCTTAGATGTTGATTTCTTTCTTCAATTAATTCTGCTTAAAGAAGATTCCAACTTTCAAAAACTAGGATTGGTCTGAAAGTTCATTTTTGGTCTTAACTGTTCTCAGTTATTTAGTGAATTCATAAATTTTAATAATTTCAATCAAAACTTGGATTAATGGGGTTTTGGGGTTTTGGGGTTTTGGGGTTTTGGGG